CCCCAAAACCCCAAAACCCCAAAACCCCAAAACCCCTCCTACTAACATTATTATTGTAAAAATAAAAATGTTTGGTCCTGAAGAGCCTAGCTGTGAGCTCGAAGTAATCAAAGAAGTAGGCGACCAGGCTTGTCAGTTTGTGCAGAAGTATTGCGAGCACGAGTCGTTGTTTAACTTCTTCTCGGTTCATTATTGCCAGTTTGAAGGTGCAAGCTACATCACTATCCCGGTATATCTGTTCATCATCTTTTTGTGATTTTACATTGTTGGAACTACTGCAGAGGGTTTTCTCTCTCCAGCACTTGAAAAAGTTGCAGAGAAGCTAGGAATGTCAGAATCCTTAGCAGGAGTTACCCTCCTCGCTATGGGGAATGGAGCACCTGATGTCTTGACTTCGGTATCTGCAGCTGGAAGTGAGCATACTGGAATGTTCTTTTCAGTAGGGTCCTTATCTGGGTCAGGCCTCTTCGTCACAGGAGTGGTCACTGCAATGTGCATAATCTTCTCACCAGAGGTGATTAAAGTACCTGGTTCCAGCATCCTCAGAGATGTATGTTTCTATATGTTAGCGCTAATAACTGTTCTGATCGGGTCAATAGTGGGAGAACTCAACTTATACTTCGCCGTAGCGTTCTTTTGCATATATCTTTCCTACGTTGTCGTAGTCATCATAATGGACAAGCATGAAAGAAAGCACCAGGATTTGAGCAACAAAGAGAGGGGAAATGATGCTCAGCTCAAGAAAGTTACCTCAATTAACCAAGATAAAGAATCCTTGATGAGCTCAGATGAGGAAGATGATGACGAAAACTACTTTTATGGAAAATCAGCATCTCAAAATGTAGGCTCTCTTGGAAAACGTTTGATTAAAAGGGACGATAAGAATAGAAAAGCTCAGACTCAGGACTCATCTGGTGACCAAGAGCAGAACAATGGATCTGGTGAGGAATGGTCAATGGTCCTTGAAGAGCAAGATGCTTCAGAACAAGAGCAATACCATGAGCAGAGCCATCAGCGTCATCATCCCCATATAGGTATGGATTAGGTATTTATCAAATTAGAAACAGGTCAACGTGGCAAACGAAAACTCACGAATCAAAGTTTTGTAAGAAGGATGAATATAAAAGATGAGCATGAAAGACCTCTTGTCCTTTCTCCAAAATTAAGAGCTAAGAAAATATTGAAGGAAGCAAGCCCAGATGCAAACAAGGTAGAGAAAATGAATATTTTCAAAAGGTTGATCCATTACATACTAAAAACTCCTTTAAATTTCTTAAGAAGAATTACAATTCCACCTTCAGATAATGATTCATGGGATAGAAGGTACGCTTCGGTGGTTCCTATCTTCTCATGCTTCTTTATTTTTGTAATGACAGGTATGATTGACTTCAAGAGCATGCCCCACTTCTCCTTCTGGATCTGTCTTGGGGTTGCCTGTGTCCTCTCTCTTATAATCTGGCTTACAACACCGTACAAGGAAGAACCGAAAAGAGCTATTATCATTTTCGCAGTAGCAGCCTTTTTCCTATCAATTCTGTGGATGTGGTCAGCAGTCAATATCCTTGTAGATTTACTCGGAGTCTTAGGCCTTCTATTGGGATTCAACCCAGCTTTTCTTGGAATGACTCTTCTTGCATGGGGGAATTCATTTGGAGAAGTGATGGCGAACTCAACATTTGCAAGAAGAGGATTGGGAAGAATGGCTTTCACAGCATGCTTTGCAGCTCCTCTCTTTGACTTCCTTATCGGCCTTGGGCTTAGCCTGACTATAAAGAAGATTAGAGGAATCCCACCTTCAAGGTTTGTGATCACTGATACCGAAGCGCATATTCCCTTAATGGCTATTGGAGGCCTGATGTTGCAGTTCATAATAATCCTAATAATGTCAACGGTCAACAAGTTCCATCTGAAGAGGTGGCAAGGATATGTTCAAATTGGCTATTTCGCTCTGTTGCTGACCATTGTTTCGATTGGAGCATTCACTTTTGCAAAATAATTAGTAGTGTAAATATCTCAGTCAATATGACCAAATTGGAAAGGGGTTTTGGGGTTTTGGGGTTTTGGGGTTTTGGGGTTTTGGGG